TTATGCTGTCACATTGCTAAGTATCTTGAACAGGTTTCATTATAATCCATTCTAATGTATTATAAGGAATTATCTATCTTGAACAAAACTGATATACATACGAGTAACATTATATTTAAATGTCTCTTTTAGAATTTTTTTCTAGAAACAAATATTATACATTAAGTTTTTGTACTTACATTAACTACTGAAAGAATTTTTTTACATACTTATTACAAATTTTTGTTTAAGCAACGCAAAACTTTACTCTGATACATCAATACGTCGATACACAAACTTTTAATCAGTGAAGACTCATACAATTTCATTATGAATTTATGAAATTTAGAATTATAAAAAAAAGTATGGTATTGTTTTAAATTTTCCATTTGGAAAATACATAATCATAGTAGTAAAAATATTTTAACATTATACTTATTATCAATATTATCACTATTAAGTTTGAGTTTCGCACGCTTTAAATGGGTTTTAAATTTTCTTTTAACTCCTATCCACGAATAGTTTTTTGTACCTTTAATATATAATTTGAAAACAAGACTATGATAAGTCAATCAAACTTTAAAATAATCTTATGCACATTTTTTTACAGTTGCAATTGAATTTATGTTGTACAACTAAAATTGAATCACACAACTCCATTTGCAAATTTATCTGTTTATGATAAAAAATGTTAAGGAATTAGTAACTCTTCTTAAAGTACATATTCACATGATTCGCTGAAATTCTTCCAATGCTACTATTGGGCATATAAAGAATTCTAATAATATATAGTTTATTGTTTTTTTTTTCAGATTTTACTAAAATCTAACTAAAGTTAAACTAACTAAGAACTTAATTAACAAAACAATTTCGAAAATGCTTACTAAAATTTTAAATAAGTATTTAAAAGCATATTATGTTAAGGACTACGTATGAAGGACTACCTACATACATGTATTTATTGCCATCACTCCATAAAAGTTAAGAAATGCATGTACGTATGTAGTACCTACTTTAAAACTAGAACAAAAGTTTTCAATTAAAGAAACTTCAACCTAAAAATTTTTTTATTTTAGCATAAGTGTAATTATCGCAGAAATCCATAAAATTAAGAAAGAACATAAAATTCAACAAAAATTAAAGGATTATGTTTCATTTAAAACTTTATCTTTATTCTAAATTTTTATAATAATTTTTAATTTTAAAAAACAATAAAACTATAATTATTAAAAAAATTATTCCTATTAAATATCAAAAGAATGATAAAATACTTTTAATCAAATAAATAATGTCATACTGCACTTGAAGAAAAGTCAATTGCTACTGCTCAAAAATTTTTCAAAAATGTATAATTTTAAAATAAATTGCGTGAAAATAAAAATAAATTTGCTAATCCCTGCTGTATATGCAAATGTATGTAAGAACTTAAAGTCCATGAAATTTGCTCCAAAATAAAATTACTTTAATTTGTTTCAAAATCATTTTTGAGTTATTTTTAAATTTTATGTCCATTCATACACTTTATATTACTGAAAATATACACATATTTACACTATTTTTGGTAACAATAAACAATTTTTATTGTCCTTTCATGTTCGTTTTCTTTCATGTGATATAACTACACAATTTGAATAAGCCAATACTTAAATATTTATTCATAATATTTGAAAATTTCTAATTGTATCTTAATATTTATACAATGAAGTTTAAAAAAAATGTAAATTTATTTATTTATATATTAATATATTAATATAAATTAACTTACTTCACTTGGACTCATTGAAGACGAAGACATGACACTACTTTATAAAAAAAATAACAAAATAAATCTTCTTTGACACTGACATTCTTCAAATGTCATTTATTGTCAGATGCAAAAATTATATGTAAATGTACATACGTCAAATTTCAGAACAGCCAACTTAGTATAATTTTTTGAGTAGAACCCAGTGGAGCCTAATAGTGATTTCGCAATCCCTTATTACTTTTTATAGATATTGACCGACAGTACAAAAAAATATTTTAAATTTAAAATTTGAATAGGAAAATATGTACGAGAAAATCTAAGGTTAAAGCTAATCTGATGACTCTTCACATATCAAATAAAAATCAGCTTATGGATTTTCTAAGCTTTCACAAAATATTAATTGGCGCGATCTTACAGTCAAACTTACAGTAATCTGATAGGATCAGATTAATTTTAAATAGTGTTTACGTATACGACTTTTCTTAGACTCAGAATTTCAAATAAATAATACTTTACATACAATTTTCTCTGTTTGTTGTGTTCCTTGCGGCGTTAATTTTTATAATGCGAATGTATACAAAAAACAAAACACAAATCGATTCTCAAAAAGAATGTTTGTATACATTTTTGTAAATTTTTAATTTTCTGTTGAAAATGTGAATCAAAAAATGTCTTCCACAAAATTAGTTTGTCAAGAAAGGAAAATGAAACGTATCTAGAAAAGTTGCTGTGTAAACGGTGTTAATATTTTGTCTAATCGATTGCTTACACAGGCAAGAATTTTTGTAATATTAATTGTCATTTAGTTTTTCAAAATGTCAATTTACTTCCAATAATGACATTGCCAAGTTCATTTTTTTGAATATCTTTGAAAGAACAACTTTGTTTATTTTTTCAGTGAAAAATTTGAAAATTTGTTTTGTTGTTCCATATATCAATTCAGCGTTAGCAAAATTTTCTTGCCAGTTTAGCAGACAATAAACTGGCTAGTTTATTGCAATTTCAAGAAAATTTGTTTTTTTAATATGCTTTACATGGATTTTATTTTTGTAATTTTGGTTGAGAATGGATAAAACATTACCTGAAGGGATTTTGATGTTCATTTTTCTTAAAAAAGTCTAAAACTAGAACTACTCCCGTTCCTCGAGTTTTAAAAATACATATGAAGACACATTTACTCTTGACAGTTACGAAACAGTTATTTTTTACATTTATGAACCATTTTATTTTTGATAGTTATAAAATCATATACTAAATTATATGAGAAATAAGCTAAATACTCGAAATTCAAATTACTAATTCAACATCTAATGGATTATCTTAAATACTAATTCAACATCTTAATGGATTTATCTTAAATACTAATTCAACATTTGATGGATTATCTTGCCTCATTTTGTGAATAAAAAATTTAAAATCCCCTCTATTATGAACATCGGTATCGGCCGATATATTATCGGCAGTTCTAATCGGTTTTAGGTTTCTTCTGTATTGAAACCGATACCGATAAAAATATTTCAACCGATTAAAAGAAGCTTTTTCATATAAATTTTTGTTTTTGTAAATTGGAGAAAAAGTTTTTTTTTTCTAATGACAATTGTTTTCTTTCAAAAGTTATTTTCAAAAAATTTTTAAAACTATTTTGAATTTGGTTTTGATGTGCTAAAAAGTTGTAAGCAAATTATTTTCTGTTAAATTTGTAAAATAAAAATATACATATTCAAAGACGACATATAAGAGATTCAACTAATCCATTGGATTTAGACAACAAAATGTATGTTTATGTACCTATTTTATTTTATTATTTATATAATATGTACACATTTTTTAGGTTTATCCAGAATTTCAGATTATCATTCCTTGCCAGGTCTAAGTCCTCTTCCATTTTTTCTACTAACCGTGCAATTTGTTTTTTGTTGCTTACGATTTTACAGCTAAATAAAATATATGAATAACATTTTGAAAGAAAATAATTTAGAAAAAATGCTTACATTTTAAAAAAGCAATTAATTACACCAGTTTCCTTGATAAAATGAAGATTTTACAAAAAAAAAATCCGTCGTCTAAAAATTTGTACCCGCTTTTAAATCGGTGAAAACCCGACAATTTATCGTTTTCATAATACCAGCTAATACGTTTCCTATACAGGGAAAAAAAGCTTTCCCGACTCCGATAAAATTTACCGATAAACAATGTTGGTAATACAAACGCAAAATTTTGCCGATAAATTATCGTTTATCGGCCGATACCGATATACATAGTAGAGGGGAATGTAAATGTCGACCTGTACATAAGGATGGAAAAAATAAGTAACATTCAAAAATAGTTAAATATAAAAAAATTATTAATATAAAAAAAAAGTTTCATTATTTTCATTACTTACTCTTGTCAGGAATTTCGTTTCTCGATTTTGGAATTTTAAACTTCGTTTTAAAACATTTAAATAATTTCAGTATTCAATAGCAGTTTTTTTACATTTTTAAAAAATTCAATTTATAATTTTCGCTTAACGTACACAATGTTGATCTCAATTAAAATTAAAAAAAAATTCCCAAAAAATATAATTTTTTTCATAAATTTGATTTGAAATCAATTTTAAACAAGTAAATGATTTCGAAAAGCGTGTGTCGATTTGTAAACGACTGCTGTGCGCTTTAATCTTTCATGCAATTGCAGTAGTAAAAGAGTGAATGTTGTTTTTGTAAAATGACATTTCGATAGGACATTTTTTATTTTTTTATTAACAAAATTATGTTTTTTTTTTCCTTTTTTTGTTCTATAAAAGAGTTGATATAAACCTGAAAATTAAAATAAAATTTAAACTTTTCTTATTAAATACTTATTTTGTTAAAAGATCATGAGTGTTGCTTTATTTTTTGTATAAAAATGGCCATTATTTTTGAAAGAGGTCGTTACTCTTGGAATGTGCACATTAGTGTCGTGAGAGGAATTTTCAATGGTAATTGTACATTTTTGTGCATTATGGTTGTGCCGCACCCGAATGAACTGTATGCGACTTGCTCAAAATCGTAAAAATGCTTTGAAATCGTAAAAAGGCTTTTAAGCATTTTTAAATGTAAAAATTGCCGTTTTTGAAATAAAACACTAAACTTATGAGAATTTATTTTTATATTCTTACATATTTATTTTCTTTAACATTACACATTTTTATTGTAACGTTTTAATTGAAATAATAATTTAAATTTCTACAAAATATTCAATAATTAATAGAATATGAATTTTATTTATATAAACATTCTATTTTTAATGTGTGTTGCAACTTAATTAAGTTAATTCATTTGTTTTTAATGTAACAATGATTAAGTTTTACATTTGTTTTAGATACCAACTTCGTGTTTTTTTTTAGTTTTATTACTATTATTTTTATTTACCTACAATTTTTAAAAATAAAATAAAATGTTTTTTCTCATATTTCAAGAAAACAAAATATCTTATGTTTTAAACATATTCTTTGCCTAACACACGTGACATGATAATGTTAATATTATATTATATTTATATTGTAATTTTTTACTACTATTATTATCAACGTTATTTATTTTGGTTCATTATTATTATATTATCAATTTATCTGGTGTTTAGTGTATGTGAATTCTTTAATTTTTAAGCATTATTGAGTTAATTTTACTAAATAATTATGCAAAACTTAGTATGTACGTATATTATAATAAATTAATTCAACTGAAAAAAAAACAAATATTATCAATAAAATGATAATATTAATAATAACTTGTCCTTTTTTTCGAATATTTAGAGCAGATTTATCACCTAAGTTCTATAAAAAGGCTGTGAATCACCCATATCCAATATTTGTGATGTTAGATGCATCTTTTGAAGTTTAAAAGCGTCAAGATTTTCAGTGCAGAATTCAAAACTCGAAATTGATTTTATTCTAAAAATTTTTGAATAATATCACATTTCAAGTGATGCGTTTACAAAAATATGGGTGAATATAAAATATATTCCGATATTACATATATAAACTTTTGTTGAAAATTCTTTTATTAGTCAATGAATTGCTCAAACTATTTGATTTAATTATATTCTACTATAAAAATAAAAGAAATAATTGATTGTTTTGGTTTTAATGAAAAATGTTAATATATTTAAAATAACTTTTTCAGATTAATTAAATTCATGTTTAAGTAAAAGATCTATAATTTTAGCAATATTATGCTCATTACAGTTTTGAATGCATGTTATAATCAAGAACCTTTTTTTTTTTCAATTTTTGCATTATTGAATGGAAGTTGTTATGGAAAACTTAAAACTTAGATTTTTGTTTATCTAAAGGATAAACAAAATGAAAATATTTTTCTTAATTAAAATTAACAATAATGAACATTATTAATTTATACATGAAAAGTTATATCATTGGAAATAAGGTCCAAAAAATTATTTTAATTTTTATATTTAAAATTTTTAACCGTTTGAAACTTATTATAAAAACATTTTTTAGTGCTTAATGTGGTAAACTTTAATGAACCTTATTATAGTAATAAATTTTTCTAATCTTTTATTTTTCTCTTTTTTTTCTAAATAACTTTCAAGAAATATTTTTATATTTTATATAGAAACATTTTTTACTTAATTAATTATGGTTAAGAAAATTATATGTAGTTCATAATTTACTTTGTACGCGTTTAAGTTTTTGGATGATATTAATTTTTAGTAATTGTTTTATTATAAGTCGAAAAAAGGGATTTTTTTTCTAGCTTCTGTTTTTAAAAAATATTTGTCATTAGTGTTTTTACATTTATGAAACTTATTACAAGTTTATAAGACAAAAAATTGGTTTAAAATGTTAAATGTTTTTTTTGGCACTCTTGGCACCCTTTCTTTATTAATAAAATAAATTCTGTCTTTAAAAATTCTTTGAGTATTGCAATTTTTTATTTTTCAGTATATAAATTTAATTTTAAAAAAAAAACATCACTTTAATATTTCATTGCTATTGCAAATTCTTCCCTTTTTCTTTTTCTAAAGTTATGAAATTAGAATAAGCCTTTTGCTTTATAAATAAAACTATTTATCTGATCATTAATATTCTTTATTTAAGTATTTGATTAATATTTAAATAAAGAATATTTTTTATATAATCTGATACATTAAGTTCTGATGCATTTATATTATAACGTTAATGAAATAACGTAGTTTTAAATATAAAAAAAATAATTAAATAAAATTAACATGTTTGTTTAAAAAAAAATTGTACATCAACTATTTTGACTTGTGCAAAACTAGCAATTCAAATTTGTAAATGAGCGTTGACATGTTGAAATTTCCAATTTACTTTCCTTTTATTAAATGTAAAATTTTTTGACAAATTTGTAAGTTAAAACTTTACTAAATAGCATTTACATTTCAAACAAATTGGAAAATTCTAACGTCCAAAAGCGTTTTAAACTGGTCTGGAAACTTTTCAATATACATTGCAGTTACTAATAATATGTATAATAAAAAATATGATTTTTACAAACATAATTTATTTTGCAACCAAAATCTTTTATAAATATTTTTTTAATTTTTATAATCATTATGGAACTTTAATTTTTACTTATTTTATGTCAAGAGAAATTTCCTTAGCATACATCATAAGAAGCTAAAAAAAAATTCGTTTTAAAAAATTATACACTACAGTCGAGTCTAATTTTCAAATTAAATATTATAAGTTAAAATAAAAACTAAAAAACAAAATGAAATTGAAATAGTACAATATTATATGAAATTTTGTTTTCGAAAAGTTTGTTCACAAATAAATAGTTCATCAGGAAATTTCTCATTTAAGTTTTTTTCTGAAACTCTTCATTATTTTCAGTTAGTTATGACATTAACAAACATCAATGTTACGATAACACGTATGCGATTATATAATTTTCTAATACTGACAGTACTAAAAGAGAAACAATAACCATATTTATTTTTTGCTAAGCTTATAGGTAATTCTTAATAGAATCATTATTTAAAATATTATATTGACAATATTTTATATATGTATGTACATATACAAATTTGACAAAATTTAGTAAACTTATTGAATTTCTACATCACTTTAAAAAAAAAAACAATTATAGAACTATTCCGAAAAAATTTGTATTTTTCAATAGTTTATTTTTCCACAAGCAAATTAACCATTGTTGTACTTCTTAAATGTAGCTCATAAAATATTTTTAATTAAATCAATTAAATAGCAAAATTTTTTGGTTATTCTAACTCTTTTGTTTTTGAAACTATTCGTAACAACTAATTTTGAAAATTTCCTAAATTTAAAAAATAAAATTTAAAGGCATCTGCGCTTTTTCTTAAATAACTTTTTTCATATGTTTTACTTTTAATATTTTTTTAATTAAAACAATATTTATTTTACTTCCAAATTTTATTCTTTTGAAATTTCTTAAATATTCTATTTGCAATCTCATTTAATTTTTTGAATAAATGTATAATTTATTTTCCTTTTATTTTATTTTTTTTTAGCAAATCTTAGATTTTACGAAAAACCAAATTTCATAATATTTGTTTGCTTTCATTTTCATACTATTTTTGTTTAATTTTTTTAAATATATTCTTAAATTTATTAAGTAAGAATAAATTAAATTTATTTTATCTTAACCATGGATGATCTAAACAATCAGCTGCAGTAGCACGTTTTTTCGGATCAAATTCTAACATTGGCTTTAAGAAATCGGCAAAAGCTTCAGCTTCATCTAGTGGCCATTCGTATTTCTCAGTTAAAACATCAACAAGGCCCCATGGTTTCAAACCAGTAATATTCCTAAGCTCTCCACGTTTATTAAATGTAAATTGAGTATAAAGACCACTAAATATAATATGTTTTGGTATTGGTCCTAGTAGCTCAATAATATGCGCAATATGATCTTCATCACGTGAATAATTTTCTCCGGAATGAGGCTCAAATAGGTAATCGCCTGTTGCTAATTCGAAAGCCATACATGCTGTGCTCCATATGTCAGCCGAAGTATCATAACCAGCACCTAATATAACCTCAAGAGACCTATATTGACGTGTCTGAATGTCTTCAGTAAAATGATTATGTACCCAACAGGCGTTACCCAAGTCTGCTATTTTAACAGATACATCACATACTTCTAAGGCCGGATCTTTTTTTGGTTGTTGATTGATGATTGAAGACCTAATTCCACCAAGAATACTGCCACCACCTGTTGTTCCTGTGCTGCTACTACTAGCGGAAGAAAAATTTTGTTGGTTTAATTTATTCTGTTTGTCTTCATGGGGTTGTGGTTGTTGTAGTACTTTAGTGGGTGATGCATTATTTGAGTTTTCGCAATGTTTTGGGGAAATTTTATTAGAAGATTGTCGGCTATTACTATTGCTATTGTTACTACTATTAGTGTCGATACAATTTTCTAACTCATCATTGTTTGATGTTGTGGAGAGCTCCGAATTCCCTTTAGATTCAGATTTATTTTTACCTAAAATACATTAATATGGAATTTAAATCAACAAAATACAAAAATTAATTCTAGATAAATATGGCTTTGAAATGTTAGAATTCGATTATAATTTGAAACTTTATTATACTTACCTTTACCGCTTTTTTTACTATTCGTCGAATTATTGGAATTAGGTTCGGACGTATTCGAACGATCATCCTTAATTTCATCGCAATCATCTTTTTGATCTTCATCTTCATCAGTAACATCACCATTTAAAATATTATTTTTTATATCACCATTACTACCGGCACCAGAAAGCGTACCAGTTTTAAAGCTACCATCAGAACTGTTTTGCCTGTTAGATTGATTTTGTTGTTGCGAATCGTTTTGCTGTTCGTCATTATCGTTAACACTATTACTATTTATTCCATCTAAATTATTTTCAATAGCTTCGACCGATGATTCTAAATTATTTTCATCCTCAGCGTGAATATTCTGTTCATCCATAGGATTTACACCACTCGATACTTGCTCCAAATAATCCCATTGTTTTTTAAACAATTCTAAACGTTTCTTAGCCTTTTTTTTTAATTTCTTCTTTTTGTTTTTACTCATTTTTCCAGTTATTTGTGGTTCCCTGTATTCTTTTGGTGCACGACTAACAAACGATGGAAACATTTTAAAATTCATAACATACAAACCGGTTGCTTCATTAGCTAATGTTCTGACATATTGATCATCAACGCATAATAAAACGTTTTCCGGCTTAATATCAGTATGAATAATTTTACAGCAAGTGTGCAAATAATCGAGACCCTCTAATACTTGTCGTATTATTGATTTTACATTTTGTATTGGTATTCCACGATAATTTGATTTTCTTATCAATTTTAATAAGTTATCACCCAAAACTTCAAATACCATACATATATGTGTTCCGTTAACACCATTAATTTTAAAATCATCGAGCAATTGTACTGTTTTATTTCTTCTAGGATTTGAAGGATCGCTGTCGCGTACAGATTTTAAAATTTTAATTTCATCTTTAGCAGTTTCAGCGAAATGTGGTGCCGATTTAACTATTTTTATTGCAACATAACGTTTATCTTCTAAATCCCAACATAGCCACACAGTTGAAAAATGTCCCCATCCAAGTTTACGAACGACATGGTATCGATCTAAAAAAGATAAATATTTTTTGTTTATTTTCAAGTTATATGAATTGCATACTTTTAATTATATAATATATGTACATATGTATATAAGTATAAGAATAAATTTTTTTTAAGTTTTTAATCCACAAAATTTTTAATCAAAATTATATTTTAATGCTGAAGTTAATGGAAGTAATTAGTTGTGTGCACGCGAAAACAATAAATGCCATATTGTATGTAAACTATTTGCTAAAAGAGCAAAAAAAAGTATGAAGTTTATGGAAATACAATAGTGTATTTTCTGAATTGTGTATTAGTTTGTTTAAAGTTTACATAAAATGAAACCGACAAATAATGGAAATCCGGTCTCCAAGCTATTATATTCCCAAAAATATTGGTGGCTTATTGTTTTGGCAACCGCAATTGAATTATTAAATTGACCTGGCAGAAACGAGTCTCGTTGAAAACTCGACATATGAACAACTGTACTCGACTGTAATACTTATAAAGTTTAATTGATTTAATAGAATAAAATACAAAATTAACTACGATATATTATTGCATTTTTTATATTTACGTTACTGCGTTAATACTAAACGTAATCCAGGAAGAAATATTAAGTATATAATTATGTGGTAATAACCTAAAATTTGCTTAAAATAAAAACTAAGTTGTGGCACCCTAATTCTGTACCTTACTAATGGTACATCTTGCATAAAAAGAGACAATGCTCTACATAAAACAAAAAGGAGTTCAAAGTAACAAAGCTTTTTTAAAAATACAAAAGCACAAAAAAATTTCTTTTACTAACTAACAATTTATATCTTTGTTGCTTAAAGTATAATCAATATTTTTTTGACTATCTTTATAATTTTCACCTTCGTTGACTCATTTCATCCTTTTTGTCCACATTTGATTTTGATTTTCACATTAAAAAAAATTTCGATTTCATTTTCGTTTTGATATTTCTTTTTTTTTTTCAATAAATTTTAGAGTGTAATTTTGATTAAATACAAAGTGTTTTTGTAAACTTTAGGATAAGGAAAGAAAACTTTTATCGTTTCTATTACTAAAATAGAATATTATTTTTCTGTTAAATACGATTAAAACACAATTTATTCAGTGAAAATCTACTATGACTATTGTTTTTTAAAACCCGAGTAATCCGTAAACTAGTATAGGTTCAAACTTTTCACAGAAAAATTTCTCAACAACAAGTAAATCAAATACAATATAAAAATTATTTATATTCAGAGGTTTTTCATATATCGATATTGTTAACCGTATGCCAGTGCCTTCTAAAAAATTAAACTCAATATCGAACTTCATAAGAATTAATTTTTTTCTTAATAATTCTAAGCATATATTAATTATTTTGTGAAACAAAAAATTTTGGAAAGCTTCAATAATTCATAATTAACCTCAAACTAATTTTGCCCATAGAAATTACATCATTACTTAAATTTGAAATATACATAATACCGCAAAAAACGAATAACAAAAAAAAAAATCACTTATTGTGATTTGCAAAAAGCAAAAACAAATTTCTGTTTCGGCAAATTGGTTATTTTATTTCCGGTGTTTTTGTAAATGTTTAATCGCTTTTATAGTGAGTCATTTAAAATTTTGTCATATGTTTTAGCAATTTAGTTAAAGTTTAATTATTTGGTACTGGGCTACCATTTTTTACCAAAATTATTGTATTTAAATGAATTTTATAATAACATTTGATTTTCTTTTGTATATAATTTTAGTACTTAAGCTATTGACGTATTCAAAGTATATGGTGTAGTAGATTAATTATTACTTAAATATAAAAACGGCTTTTCAAATCTACTCTATGTAATTATTCTTTAATATTTCATATTTGTTGTAATATTCATTTTATTAAATTCACTGCTCGATACGCTCTTCGATCCTCGGAACGTTAATAAGATAAGTATATACAAACGGGATTAAACAAATAGTAATTCTCTCAAATCACTTAAGAAAATTATAAAGTTCTCGAAAACTATAATATTCAATTAAAAATTCCAGTACTTGATTCTAAAGAATATTTCTACATAAAGAGAAAAATATTTGTAAATGTACACATGTATAAATATTATATTCGAAAATATAATATGTGTAGATTATTGCGAACGTTATCTACACATTTTTCAGTAATATTCATTTAACATACCTAACAATAAAGATAAAACAAAATTCAAATACAATTTATTTTTAAAGTGATATTGTAAAAATTCATTTCTAAGGCAAAACATCATAATGTTGAAAAAACTCAATATTGGTAAAGCAAAAAGTGGGGTTTCCAAGAGTTAATGAAACAAATTCAGTACAAGAAATGAAACAGTAGTACAAAAAAGGAACTAAACAAAAACATTCTAAATTTACAAAAGTGACAGAAGCAAAAGCGTCTTAATTTAAGGCAAAAGTTTTGAGACGGCAGATTTTATAAAGGGAATAAAATTTATATTGGATACTTTAACACTATTAGATAACGAAACAATGAACAACAATTGGCGCTGATATTTATCCCGAACTTTTGAACAATATAAGAATATGACTTTGAGCAAATAAGTTGAATTAAAAACGTTCACAAATTAAAACTGACCATATTTCTTAATTCCAAATCTGATGTTATTCTTAATAAAAACTTGCAAATGGTAATTTTGCAATGAAAAATATGGAAAATAATGTTAAGGAAGAATAATTGGCATTGTTCAATAGAAAAAAAATATTAAAAATGAAATCATCATAAATGAGTAATTTGGTAAGTATCTAACTTATTCAAAATTGGCAAGCATACGACAAAGAAAATTAAAAATGAAACTAAATTATTTCTTAAGAGTTTGAAATTTTTGTGTTCAGAGATTTTTCTCACATACATTTAAAATTTTCTTTGTCCCGCATATACGAGTACATTGAAAAAACACTGTCTTTTTTATGTTTCTTCTACAGAAAATAATAATTTTCTCATGTCCACTATTACTAAATAAATAGTAGTGTAACATTGAATATTTTTTGCTACTTTTATTTTATTTTTACATATCTTTAATATTAAATTAACTCAAGACATTCACAGCAATATCACATTGTTGTCTTAATTAAAAATTTACCGAGGCATTAGTTTTCTTTACTAAAAAAAAAAATCATTTTTAATAACATTTGCAACGTGTATACACTAAAAATTATTTTATTCTAAGGACCTTGAAAAGGATAACATGGAACGTAAGAATGGCATGTATATTTTTAAATATGAATTTTATTTGGAATTTAAGAATATGAAAGCAAAAAGAAAATTCTTTTTAAAAACACAAAAATTTTTTGGCTAATTAAATGTGTCTCACAAAATAAATTTACACAATTCAGGCCTGTTACTCGAGCTTCATTGAATTTAATTGAACTAAACTAAACTTCTGTGCGTAAACCAGTAATTATACATTTAAGAACCCAGAGATAACAAGGCATTCTTCAAAACAAAATACCTTTTACATAAGCAACTGGTACTAAAATTTTTGAGATACGACAAGTGTTATTATAACTTTCGTATGATCTAATGCAACCCCTATACAAAATTTCATAGGAATAGTTGCTTTTCAACCGCATTCTTTTATGTAAAATTTTAATTTTGTACTCCTTATAGTTTCTACAACCAAATTTAACCAAATTATTTCTGAGTTATATAATTTTCAGCTAATCGAAAAACATATAAAACCTTCATCAAATTTTATTAAAATAGTGACCCAATTAGTTCTTTTGTTTATAAAAATTTGAATACTGTAGACTTTATACTTTCCGAAATATAATAAAATTATTTTTATAGTATAGCAGTTCGAACCACTGCTTCAAATTAAATACAAGTAAATCTATAATACGCTTCGAACATTCGTCTATACAGGTAAAAAAATATTAATGTAGTTGTTTCAAAATATTTTTATCATGATGTGTACATTATTTGAAATGCATCATAAGAATGCATAAATCAGTTCGTATTCAACTACATTTAATGTAAATTATAAAAATTTAGTAATATATACATACATATATAAACAACAAAACAAAAAAAAGCAATGTAATGATAGCCAAATGCCCTCTAAAATCTAAAGAGCCGTGATCGGCAACCTGTCTTCCTCGTGTTATTGAGTGACCCATTTGATAATTTGATGTTAAAATTATCCATATTCTGAATATAACTGAAGAAATCATAGTAGGCAGAATATTGACAGAATTGTTTTTCTTTCAGTTGGATTGTTATTTTATTGGAAATTAATAAAATATAACTTATATAAATTTTACTTGTCAAGAGAAAAATGAAATTATTTCTGATCCGAATCAAAATGTGATTCTTGGTCAATTTTTATGAGACTTTTGAGCGTAGATTACGCCTAAAAAAGGTTGCGGAGCCATGATAAAGAGTAATGGTACCAATAGAATTTAATTCTCTTTATAAAAAGCTAAAATTTTAAAGAAAGAAAATTTATTTTTAAATTTCTAGCTTTTATAATAATTTTACGTCTCTTTACCTCTCTCACTAGGTCAACAAACTTATTTAATTTAGAAAAAAGAAAAAGGAGGAAAAAAAACAAAAAACAAGTTTCCTCTATTCTCTGGCAAAATTTCATATACTGTATAACGATTAAATGAATCATTACTATCCCCCCGTACTCCTCCTTCATATAAAAAAAAATATCTCTAAGAAAGGGGAAAAAATAAGCAATTGTTCTATTATTGGGATCATCTCATTTTTTTTGTATACTTTGGCTTTTAATTATTATTTCTTGCTATAAAATTTATTGAAATTCGAAAAAAAAAACTAAAAATTATGCATAAATAATTCCGGCATTTTTAACATAAAAGTTTCGAATATTTTAGATATAAAAATTTATTGATTAACTTTGTTATAATCAATAACTTTCATGTAAAAATCAAAATTATCACATTTATGTATAAATATGTATATAAATGTGGAAGAATGTGCTAACACATGCATACATGGAAATTTCATCTATCCGTGTTATTTT